GGCAGCCCCTCCGGTTGCGCTCTCTCCTCCTCCTTCGGAGTCGGCCAGTGACATCTCCAGTGTGGGTCTGCTCGTCGTGCCGCCTTCGTCGCCTCGCTCCCCGTCCGCCGACTCCACCCTCCGCCCCTCTCCGTCGGGCCCGGATCCCCCCTCCCTCCTGGTTTGACCTCCCCGGTCCCCACGGGTGACGACGGTGGTGCCTCCCTCGGTGAGCCTTCTCCGGTCCTTCCACCCGCGGGGGACGCGTCTGGCGACATCTTGGAGCTCGTCGCCACGTTTCCCCCGCCGGTGGACCTCGACGCCCGCCTCGCCTCTCCTGCTTCTCCGGCCTCGGCGGTGGCCGTGGTCGTGACCACTCCGGTCTTCGCGCACCCTCCCCAGACGGTGGCGTACGCTAGGCGGCCCCGCTCCTCCTCGACGCCGGTGACTGCGTCTCGCCGCAGCGCCCGCCTCAATGCGGCCCGCCCGGCGGACTCCTCGGTTTCGTCCATCGCCGAGCGTGCGGAGATCCAGGCGGCGGCCCGGAACCTCGAGTCAGGTGTGGATCCCGCCCTCCCCAGCTCTTCTAGTTGTTCCTTTTTCGCGCTTGAGGCCATACCTCTCGGCCACCTCGCCAAGGTGGCCACTGACTCGGCCATCATATTCAGGGGGGAAGTGGGTCCCCCCTTAGAGCAGATTGCGGCCATTAGGGCTCGCGAGATCCTAGATGGAAAGCTGGCTGAAACTCAGGCTCGCCTGCTTCGACCTCCCGAGGAATCGACCGCCACCCCTGCGGTACGGGCTCCTCCGGTGGTCGACGGGGTGATCCATGGGTGCACTCGTTCCCGCACAGCTGCGCTTCACGCTCAAAGCGCATCTCGTGTCCTGGGGTCAAGCAGCCCCTCGATGGGGGCTTAGATGCGGGCCCTTTTTTGGAACATCCGCGGCTTCGACCATGATGGCCGACGCCGCCAACTCGTCGAGTACGTGCGAGATGAACACATTGACATCATTGCCATCCAGGAAACCATGCACACTGAGTTCTCCCTCCATGAGCTAGACTGCCTTAGTTCCCACCTCTTCGCCTGGCATTGGCTCCCTTCTAGTGGGACCACGGGCCATTCTGGCGGCATCATTTTAGGGGTAAAGGATGCCACCTTTGAGGTGGGTGGCATGGACCGGGGTGAATTCTTCATTAGTATGGAGATCTTTGAGCGTGCTCTTAAATTCAAATGGGAAGTGGTGATTGTTTATGGACCGGCGGACCACCGCCGCTCCCCGACCTTCCTTGCGGAGCTGCATCAAAAGATCTCCACCTCCCTCCTCCCAGTAGTCGTGGGCGGAGACTTCAACCTCATCCGCTCCCCGGATGAGAAGAATAATGATCGGATTAACCTCCCCCGGATGTAGTTGTTTAACAACTGGATCGCGGAGCTCGGTCTCTGTGAACTAGAACGGACGGGCGCCCGGTTCACCTGGACAAACCGCCAAGCTGACCCGACGCAATCCGTATTGGATCGCGTCCTAGTTTCCCTGGAATGGGAATTATGCTGCCCCTTGGCGTCTCTTCGGGCGATTACCCGGATTGGGTCTGACCACGTCCCTCTCCTCCTCTCCACCGTGGACGAGCGTCCCCCCACCCCGCCGCGGTTTCGGTTTGAGCTCTTCTGGCTTAACCAAGCGGGCTTCCGGGATGCGGTTATTGCCCGATGGATTTCTGCTCGCGCTTCCCCTCATCGCTCCATGTCCACCGTTGACTCGTGGCACTTCTATGCCAAGCTCGCCCGCCAATTCATGAAGGGCTGGGGCGCTAACCTTGGTCGTGACCTCCGCGAGCGCAAAAGGGCCCTCCTGCTGGCTATTCAAGCCTTGGACGCCCGGGCCGACACCTTCGGAATCTCCCCGGATGAGTGGATGCTGAGATATGATCTTGAGGATCAACTCTTAACCATCTACACGGATGAGGAGGCTTACTGGAGGTTGTGCGGTACCCAAAGATGGGTGCTTCGTGGCGATGCGAACACCGCATATTTCCAGGCGGTAGCGAACGGCCGGCGTCGCCAGAACTCCATACACTGCCTATGGGAGGGAGATACGCCTCTCGTTCGCCCCTCGGCCATCCGGGCCCATGTTGACGCCTTTTACAAAGCTCTATTTACCCCCACCCCTCGGGGTGGGGCTAGTCTCGCCCCCGACATTTGGTCGGGTGTGCAGTTGGTCTCTGCTGAGGCCAATGCGGCATTGGTTGCCCCCTTCGTCGAGGACGAGGTCCTCGCGGCTATTAAGGGGATGAACCCCTCCTCGGCCCCGGGGCCGGATGGCCTGCCTGTAACGTTCTTCAAAACGTTCTGGCAGACCATCAAGCCGGAGGTCATGGCCCTGTTTGAGGAATTCTACTCGGGCTCTATGGATCTTGGACGCCTTAACTACGGGATCGTTACCCTCATCCCCAAGGTTCCGGGCGCCTCCGATATCCGCCATTTCCGTCCCATCATAGTGATTAATGTGATATTCCGAATCCTGGCCAAAGGGTACGCCAATAGGGTGACCCTGCTCGCTGACACGATTACCCACCCGAACCAATCTGCCTTCATACAAGGCCGATTTATTCTGGATGGGATGTTGGTATTCCACGAAGTCTTCCACAAAGTCCGGGTGAAACACCATCGAGCAGTCTTCTTGAAGCTTGACTTCCACAAAGCATACGACACTGTCCACTGGCCCTTCTTGCAAGAAGTGTTGCTCCGAAAGGGCTTTGACGACCGTTGGGTGACTCGCGTTATGCAACTGGTCTCCTGCGGCCGGACCGCGGTGAACATTAACGGTGACATAGGGCCCTACTTCCCCACCCTCTGCGGGGTCCGTCAGGGTGACCCGTTCTCGCCGTTCCTGTTCAACATGGTGGTGGATGCCCTGGCCGCTATCCTCGACAAGGCCAAGGATGCCGGACATATTCGCGGCATCGTACCCCATCTAGTCGGAGGGGGAGGGGTCTCCCTCCTTCAATATGCGGATGATACCATAATAATGGTTGAGGGGTTTGTTCAGGACATAGCTAACCTGAAGTTCCTCCTGTGCTTCCAACAGATGTCGGGACTAACCATAAACTTCGATAAGAGCGAAGTGATGGTTCTTGGGTAACCCCCGGAGGAAGCACAGGCTATCGCGGACCGACTAAATTGTCGGTTGGGTTCTTTCCCCACGACCTACTGGGGATCCCCATTAGTGATTCACGCCTCACCGTGGCGGATCTTCGCCCCACAGTGACCCGTATGCAACACCGTGTTGAGCCCTGGAAAGGGCGCTGGTTGTCGAAGGCTGCGCGCATGATCCTCATCAACTCCTCGCTTGCCAGCCTTCTATGGTTCCTCATGAGCTTCTATAGCCTCCATGAGACGCTCCATAAGGAAATTGCCAAGTACCAGTCCAGATTCTTCTGGGCTGGCGAGGATGATAAGCAAAAGTACCACATGGTGAGCTGGCCGGATATCTGCAAACCCAAGGACCAGGGTGGTCTTGGGATATTGTCCTCCCGGCAAATGAACATTGCCCTCCTGACCCGTTGGCTCTGGCGCATTGCTAATGGCGACGGAGGCCTTTGGCTCACCATCATCGGAACAAGTACCTTCGTGGACAGCCACTCGCATTCTGTCAGCGCTCGGGCGGCTCCCAGTTTTGGCAGGCCGTCATCCAGCTGCTACCTGTGCTTCGCATTGGCACATCCATCTCGGTTGGTACTGGGTCCTCGACCCTGTTCGGGTTTGATCGGTGGATTGGTGACATCCCCCTGGCCGCGCGATTTTCGGAGCTATTCGCCATTGCTGTTGACCCTCGGGTCTCTGTCGAGTCGGCCCTTATTGACTTAGGGCGCCTCGCTTTTCGCCGTCCCTTTGGCCCGCGTGAAGTGGCCGCCTGGGATGCCCTGCTCCAGGACATCGCCCTTCTCCCGATGAACATCACCGACACCCCGGACGCCATCTCTTGGCGTCTGGAATCATCCGGCTGCTTCTCCACCAAATCCCTCTACGTGGCCATCGCCCCCTCGGACGGCCCCCGAGCCCTTCAGTCTGATTTGGGACATTCGCTTGCCCCTGAAAATCAGGATCTTCCTATGGCAATGGATCCGCGGCCGCCTCCCATCCGGCGTGGAGGTCCTCAAGCGTAATGGACTTGGAGATGGGATTTGTCCCCTGTGCGGCACGGTGGAGGACGCTAATCACATCTTCTTCTCGTGCTCCACGGCCTAGTTTCTCTGGTCCAGTTTCCGCGAGACGGTTGGGGGCCAGTGGTGCAACTCCAACTTCCCTGACCTGCCTGCGGAGATCCATGCCTCCCCCCCTCGCTACCGCCATATTAGATGGCTCTGCGTTGGGGTCCTTGCCTGGACGCTTTGGATCGTCCGCAATAAGCTTGTCATCCAGAAGGTGCCTCTCCAACGCGCTACTGACACCATCTTTAAAATGTGTGGGTACTTGTAGCTTTGGCGGCCACTTAGCCGCCCTCAGGATCGGGACGTCATCAACACCCTCCTCGCCGACCTTCGATCGCTGGCCTTCCGCTTGGCGCCCCCGCTCCCACCGCCACCCCGGAGCCCGACTAGCTGCTCCGTTGCACCCCGTGTGTGCGTGCTTTTTCTGTTTTTCAGGGTTTGTTGAGTTGTGCCCTCGGCATTAACCCTCTTGGCTACCATTTGTACTAGACCTGTGTGTTTGTGTGCGTGTGTGAACCTGTGTTGGTTGTTGGCTTGGGCAGTTGCTTTATAATATAAAGCGGGGCGAAAGCCTTTTTCGGTAAGTAAATACTGACCAAATAGTTACATATATTCCACAACAATAATATTTACACACTGTTGACTTTGCTCACTCGCTAATCATGTTTCAGGTACATGGAGTACAATGATGATAGCAGGTTTACAAGGGCTGTTGTTCTTGCTGGCGCTGGAGCCACTGACATGGTCTTGCTGAACTGGGAACCACTTGAGATCACGTAACGGTTTGGGCAGTGATAACAGTTACAAGGTTTTAGCCAAAATATCTGGCTAAGATCATCTGATCATATAGGACTCCTACTGCAAAGAAAGCACCAAAGGCGATTGCAAAGATGACTTTACTGCCAATCTCTTTGCTGGTGTTGATGGACTCTGGACCCGCTTCTGCTGAATCACAATGGTTTACAATCATAGGACCACACAATTTTGGGTTTCCATCAAAGCTAGAATCTGGAAACGTGCTAAGCTGGCCCGCAGTTGGAATAGGGCCTTCGAGGTCATTATTAGAAATGTTGAATTTGGAAAGAAAGTGCAGATTGTTTAGTGCGGCCGGAATTGTACCAGTAAGATGATTGCTGGACAAGTCGAGCATCTGCAGATTCGTGAGGGTGCAGATTGGTTCTGGGATCTCTCCTGATAATTTGTTGGAGCTCAAATTAAGTGAAAAGAGTGCTCTTAGTTGACCGATCTCCCCTGGGATCACACCAGTCAATTTATTGATGGCTAGATTAAGCACTTCCGGACAAGCACCGGGTTGGAGGTATTGGATAAATGGACTGAAAGCATAAACAGGCAGCTCAAAGATGGCCTTTGCTGCAATCTTATATGATTTTAGCATTGGCATCTCCGCTAAGGCAGTTGAAATTTCCCCTGTAAAACTGTTGTTTGATATGTCTAGATGGAAGAGAAAGTTTAGGGTGCTAATCCAGTCAGGTATTGGTCCAGTTAGTTGATTGCCTTGCAAAAATAACATCCCCAAATTTGTGAGCTTTGATAACCAATCAGGTATTGTCCCAGACATTGAACAATAACTCATAGAAAGAACTTGAAGATTCTCAAAACCATCAATGCTGTCATCCTCTGGCATGGTCTCATGCAGGAAGTTGAACCCAATAAAAAGGGTGGTGAGGCTCCTGGAACTCTCAAGGATCTGAAGTGTTCTCGTGATATTTGTAAGGGATAGGTTAACAAGTGATAGAAAGCAGAGAGACTTCAGATTGCCTATCTTTTCTGACAATTGGCCATGGAAATGATTGTAAGATAGCCTTAGTGCAGTCAGCTTGCTGCAGGAGTATATGCTTTCCGGAATTGTGCCAGTGAAGTCGTTGAAAAGAAGATCTAATTTTCTTAGCTTGGACAGGCTTACAAAGTTGACTTTGGTAAGTTCTCCGCTGAATTGGTTTGCCTTGAGGTCAACTGTTATGAGATTTGTGCAGTTGCTCAGAGCTGATGGCAGCTCCCCTGACATGTTGTGGCCCAAATGGATCTCTTCCAATCTCTTCAGCTCACCTATGGAATCTGGAATATTTCCACTGAGCAAATTCTTCCCAAGATCAAGGGTGACAAGATTTGTGAGGTTGATGATGCCATTTAGCGCTCCTTCTAACCGATTGTTAGGCAACGAGATGTACTGTAACGACCTGACCTTAAAGAGTTCATCTGGAAGTGCCCCACTGATGTTGTTGTAGCCAGCACTGAGCAATTTCAACGCCAAGCAATTACTGAGTCCTGGAGGGATGTTTCCACTGAGTTGGTTGAAACTGAGTTCAAGCACAGCAAAGATGGCGCGCTAACACAGGGCGTAGTGGGTATCTGCCCAGTGAAACTGTTGGTGCTAGCATTAAGCACGACCAGGCTCTTCATCACCTCCCATGTTGTGGATGGAAACCTTCCTGTAAAACAGTTACTTGAGATGTTCAGTACCTGCAGAGGCCGTGCAGGGGTTGAAGATGGCAACTCACTCAGGCCTCCTGTCAGGCAGTTGAAGCTGACATCAAGAACGAGGATGCTGCTGGATGACACTAATTCCAGTGGCAACCCACCGGACAGCGAGTTCTGGGACAGGTTGAGGCGCAAAAGACCAGTGAGGTTGCCAAGGAACGGTGAGATGGACCCCTTTAGGCCTCGAGATGCCAGCGAAACATCAGTGACCGTCCTATCTTGGTTGCAGGTGATCCCTTCCCACGTGCAACAGTCCGTGTCGATTCGCCACGATGCTGTGAGGCCACCATCGCTCGAGAGCCCAGTGAGGAGCTGGAGTAGGGAGCTCTTCTCCTGGTCTGTGCAGGAACTGGTGGGAGAATTCAAGCAAACCAGTAACACAAGAGCCAAACCGAAGAAAGGAACGGGATAACCGTTCCTGTGTGAGCGACTGAGTGGCTGCATGGTTTCCTCGAGAATCTAGCTTGGAAACCACAGGCTTAAGCTTTTGTCTGTCAGGATGAAGTGCCAAACTATCTGATGAAGAAAGAGAAAGACAGGAAAGGAACAACCTGCTCTGTTCTTTAGTTTGTTTGATCCCCGGTCTTTTTGTAGTGAGCAGTGATGAAAATAAAATTTGGGTCAACACCTCAACGGTTAGCTGATGTTGCATATCTAATGTGGTTTATTTATCAGTTTGACTTACGAGGACGTTGATGTGCTAATACTTAATCTGACCATTTCTCCTACCAGTTTTACTATGCCCTGAGGTACTGACATTTGGTGGCAGAAGAGAAAATTCACCTTGTGATGATCCCTTTTTTTTTGGTGGCAGGTTCGCGAGATTGTTATCTGTGATGGACGATTCACGTACATGATTTGGAGAAGAGCACATGAGGTAGGTGAAGGGGTTGTTACTGAACAATTTTTGCATTTTCTTACAATTTTGATTTGCATTATTAGGTTGATGGAATAGGTGCAGTTATAGTTAAAATACCTATCAGCAGGCGACGCCTTTCGCGGAGCTCCTCTCGTGAAACCCTTCCCTCCCGCGCCGCCACCCGCGAGGCGGCCGGGAGGGAGCCTAGATCCCCCCGCCGCCGGCCTCCCCTCCTCCTCCTTCCTCCCTTGCCGCCGCCAGGGGGCGCGGCCGGGCAAAGCCCGACCGGCCGCGGCGGTGGTGGGGCGGGTTTTTCCTTCTCCGCGCGATGAGGCGGCGCGGGCTCCTCCTTCGAGTGCGGGCGGGGCACCGCGGCGTGGCGGCACGCAGCCCCCTGGCAGTGCATGATGCTGCGTGGCCGGCTGCGCAGTGGTGCACGCCTTGCCGCGGCGGCCGGATCCGCCCGGCAGGCGGCGTGGGCGACGGCTGGGGTCCGGCTTCGGGCTGCTGGCGGCTGCGTAGGTTCCTCTCCATCGTGGGCGTGCGGCGGTGGTGCGGCTCGGCCGGTGGCGGTCCGGCGACCTGGTGGTGGTGGCCGGCGGTGCGCGTGGTGGTGGTGCTTCCACTTGGCGGCTTTCTCTGCGAGGAGGCAGGGGAGCGGCTTGGACAGGGGCGGCAGCGCAGACGGCGTGACGGCTGCAGCGCGAAGGCGGGAACTTTACGGGCCTCGGAGATCCCGGCCGGGCCTATGCGGCCACGGGCTTGGTATGTTCCTGCTATTGCGTCCGGTCAGCTACCGTCTTCAACGGTGGGGGTGGGGCCCTCCCGCGTGCCGACGGGCTGCTGCCCTAGTCCCGGCTCCTCTTCTTCATTGTGCAGACCATGCTTCATGGTGCCGTGGTGAGACGGCGTGGGAAGCTTCGTGACCGGGTTGGCGCAGGGTGAGGGTCTGTTTGGTGGCGAGCTCTGGAGTGCCTGAGGTGGAGGTTGGGATCGGGAGAAATCCGTGTTGGCTTGGCCGACACCGACGCGGTGGCGCTTGTGGGTGCCGCCGGACCTTCCTGGAGGGCGTCGGGGCTACCCTTCCTCTCTCCTCGCCGCGTACCGGGGAAACCCTTGGCAGCAGCGTCGTCATCGTCGCTTCCCTTCTTGGAGTTGTTGATTGGTACCGGTGCTTCGGAGGCTCGGAGCTTGGTGGGCGATCTCCGGTGGGTGCAGCGGCCACGAGGCTTCTTCGTTTTTTGTCGATCCGCCGCTGTTGGCATTTGTTTCTCTTGTATTTTCTCTTTCTTTTCTTTTGGGCGTGACTGTGCTGCTTTCACCCCAACACCTATCGTTGGATGTCTCGGTTGGTTGCTTTGTATACAAAACGGGGGGAAATACCTATCAGCAGTAAGTGGTGAGTACTCACTACAGTTGGTTGATGGAATAATTTGTTGTAACTACGATCAGTAAGTGGCCACTGGCCAGTGCAGTTGGTTGATGGAATAATTTGTTGGCTATCGTCATAATGCCTCGACTAGCTCTTCAAGTGTACATGTTCTTCTCAGCATCCGGCATCCCTTCACTTGCGTTGGCAGGGTGTATGCCGTGCGAGCTAGCTTGGTCAAATGATTTCCCCATAAGTCTTGTCCTAGCTTCCTAGTTTCATGTAGTCAGTATCAATTCATACATAAAGAAAAGATAATGCTGAAGCTATGCACACCTACCCACAACAGCAACATCATGTATGTAGCAGGCCTACAGGGGTTAGATTGGCTTTGACTTGAGCAGGTCGGAACTAGCTTCCTAGTATTTTCCAACTTATTTGTTGGCAGCTACATCCTTTTACTTAAAACCGGGTGCAACTGAATCAGCAGGAGGTTGAAATTCTGTGGCTTACAGTGCACAGTAAACAAGTGGTGTATGTTGTTCTCTTTTTCCAATGATTGGATGAGAAGCAGTCTCATTTCATTCTAATCTGTTCTAAAGGTTTCATTCTTTTTCTAAGACTTGACATTTTGACAAGAATCACTGTCACTTACTAGTTTAATCAATAATTAAGGTATCCACGTCATGTGCACTATGGCCTTTTCTTGATATTCTGATCTTATACAACAATAGGAAACGACTCCTGTAATACCACATGTCAAGCTGCAACTGGTAGCCAAAAATTATGTTATGTGTGAACAGAACCTTTTTGGGGTGAATGAACAGTTGAACAGAAATAAGGGCCTCTCCAATCTATGGGCTTTTTTTCTTCTGAACTGTGGCAGATAGCAGAGAGGCGCGATTTTTCCATGTGGTAATGTGAATGACTGGTCATGTCAGAGCTGTGAAGACTTGCAAAGTTGCAAGTCAAGCAGAGCAGACATGCAGCAGCAACAGCAAATGCTGCAGCCTCTGGTGACCTGCACACCCAAAGGTTGTGGGTCCGAGCAGTAATTTCTCTTGCGCAGGGAGACCAATAATTCAGCCTCCACTCATTGGTGGCTTGGTGTTCCCTTCCCCCCCTCCTCGGTCACTCCATTCAGACTTCCAGACACAGCCAACTTCGCTCCATTGGCCAGCCTGCTCAGCTCCCCTGATTCCGTTCGTCGCCGCTGCCGCTCTCCTCCGCTGGTTTGCTGCCTCACCTGCGCCAGCGCGGCGGCTCCGGACGCCAATCATCTTTGTGCAGGAGCAGCAGGTACGTACACTGTGACTAGATGTATAATGTATTTCCCTTCCCAGAGATCTGTAGTGTACTGAACTTGGTTGCTCTGCCTCCAGATGCAGATGGGTTTTGCAGCTTGTAGAAGCGGGGGGCTGAAGCCAGTATTCCATCCTCTCTGATTCTGTGCAGCCGCACCTCCCCGGCATTCTTCCGCATGATCTGAAGCCACAACACCTTGTGTAAGTGAACCATTCTGTTCCTCTGGCCTCAGGCAGCGACATTACCAGTAGTGTTGCTGCTGCTTCTTTTCCCCCCTTTGCTATTTGGTAGTGACTAACTGCAAGAACATTCCTATTGATGCGCACAGCTTGCAGCATCTCAACACACTCACCAGCAGCGTGAGGATGGCCACTGCTATCAGTGCGGCAGTGTGGGCATTGCGCAAGGCGCTGGCTCCCGTTTCGGATGACTTGCTCAAGGATTGAGCGGCCAGCGACAGTCTCGGCCCCAACATCACCGCCCTCAAGATGGAGCTGCTGCGCGCGTAGGGGATCCTCTACAACGCGCACGACAGGGAAATCGCCAACCCTGCACTCCAGGATCTGCTGCACATGTTGCGGCAGCTGGCGGACGGGGCCGAAGACGTGCTTGACGAACTGGACTACTTCCGCATCCAGGACAAGCTCGACAGCACCTACCATGCAGCCGATAAGCATGCCAAGGGCTGCACCCATGACCTTGCTCTCAATGCGCGGCACACGGCCAGAGCCGTTGCCAACAAATTCAAGTTCTCCTCGGGCGGCAACAAGCAGACACCAAAATTGAAGTTTGATCGTGTGGATATGTCTAAAAGGATGGCAGACATTGTACAGAAGCTGGATCCTATATGTGCTAAGGTGAAGGAAATCCTTGATCTAGAGCTTCGGAACCCCAAACCTGCCCAAGGCAACAGACCCAAAACCACATCAGCAATAATAGAGCCAGAGTTATTTGGGAGGAATGTTCAGAAAAAGAACATTGTGGATGACATTACCCATGGAAAATATTATGCCAATGGACTTACCGTGCTTCAAATTGTTGGCCCAGGGGGTATCGGGAAGACGACTTTCACACAGCACGTATATCAAGAGGTGAATAGCTTGTTTGATATTATGATTTGGATCTGTGTTTCTCTTAATTTTGATGCAAATAGATTGACACAAGAGATTGTGAAAAAGATCCCCAAAGTTAATGGTGAAAAGGAGAATGCTGTTGAAGGAGAGCTCATCGAACAAAGATTAAAACATAAGAGATTCTTGCTAGTTTTGGATGATGTGTGGACATATCACGAGGATGAGTGGAAAAAACTGTTAGCTCCGTTCAGAAAAGGAGAGGCAAGAGGTAACATGGTTATTATCACAACTCGAATCCCAGAGGCAGTAACAATGGTAAAAACAGTGGATTATTCAATAGAACTCAATCGCTTAGGAACTGAAGATTTTATGCATTTGTTTGAAGCATATGTATTTGGTCACCAACAGCCATGGAAAGACTATCCTGAATTACTTGATGTTGGAAGAGCAATAGTGGGGCATCTGAAGGGTTTCCCTCTTGCAGCAAAAACTGTAGGTAGGTTACTGAGAAACCAACTTGCATTGGACAATTGGACAAGAGTTCTTGAAAGCAAAGAATGGGAGTTACAAACCAGTGACTATGACATTATGCCAGATCTAAAGCTTAGTTATGATTATCTCCCTTTCCATCTACAACAATGTTTTTCCTATGGTGCTTTGTTTCCTGAAGATTATGAGTTTGGTAGCAAAGAGTTGGTTCAATTATGGATAGGGCTGGATATTTTAGATTCATGTGATCAGAGGAAAAGACTTGAAGATGTTGGGTTGTGCTATTTAAATGACTTGGTTAATCGTGGATTTTTCAAGAAGAATGAAAAAGAAGATGGCAGCTCTTGTT